TTTATATTCCTTGCCTAAGATTTTGACGCCTTGTATGCGTTCGTCATTTCTTATTTTTTGTGCTAGCGGTTCGAGGGATAATATGTAGAGTAGGGGGGATAGGGGGCATCCCTGTCGTGTCCCATTGGATATGTCGAAGGGGGCTGAGAGGAAGCCACCATGGGCCACCTTGGCCGCCGGCGTCGCATATAGCGCCATAATCCCCTTGATAAATTCGGTTGGGAAGCCGAATTTTTGTAATACTTTCTGCATATAAGCCCAATTGAGCCAGTCAAAGGCCTTCTCCGCATCAAGTGCTAGCAGGAGGCCTCCGACCGACCCCCTCTCCATGGTAGCTAGTATGTTAAGAATTTTTCGCGTGTTATCGGAGCCCTGTTGCCCCTTGACGAACCATGATTGATCGTTGTGTATTAGTTCGCTTATTATGGCCGTGAGTCTGTTACTTAATATTTTCGCATATAGTTTGGCGTCCCCATTTAGAAGGGAGATTGGTCTGAAGTTTTTGCAGGTGGTGGGTGGTTTGCCTGGTTTGGGTAATGTTGAGATGTGAGCTAACAGTAGTTCCGCTGGCAGGGCTCCCGTGTCTAAACTGTGTTGGTATAGGTTTAGGAGGTGGGGGAGTAGTAGTTTGGAGAATTCTTTATTGTTACGATTGCCCCCGGTCTAGCAGGAGGGTTGATCGCTTGGATGTCCTGGTTCCCGCTGCAGAGAGTCGAACGGAGGTCTTTCGGTAGTAAGCTGCAAATGTAGAATATCCCCAAGCACGATATAAGCATCAATATCCCGGATCCCTACAACATGAGTCGAGGCTGCAAGTTGAGGGTCAAAACGAACTGGCTTTACTGGCACATAGCATGGCAATTTATGTGATTCCTCAGGTCCAAGGACAGCCCCCTGTGGACCTGATGGAATACAGGTACAGTACAGACACATATCCAATCACAACACAGTGTATCATTTGAATTAGTACCCGCCCAGCTTGGAGATAATGAGGCCAACGGTTATACAATCTAATTATCTCCAAGCGCACCAAAAACCACGTTTTCTTATGTCCCAGAAAACTGCATAAAAATCCATAACTTCTACATTAATAAAGACAAACCCCACATTCTACCATCCATCTGAAGGCTCACGTTCGTGTAAATAAAACATGCGAATGGCGCTCTAATCCCACGAACAGAATGTACTGTTTCTGCCGTATGAAGTCCGTTCGGCATTTTGAGATTATTAGTCTTTGTTGGCGGCCATGTTTTCTGCTGTGTTAACGAGCAGCGGGACTTCGTGTCTAACTTGTGGAACTAAACTTGGTAACATTTCATGCGAAGTCCCGCTGTCGGGCTGGTAGTGGGCTCGTTCGGTAAGGGAATGAGGACCACCTGGGAGCAGGGTACTTGACCTGCGGTTAACCGCAAAAACCACAAGTTAACGAGCGCCACACGACCCGTTGTAGGGGGTCGTCGTTCGGTTGATAGTTCGGTACTTTGGGTGCGAACGTCGATGCCCCCAGGCCTACCAATTACGTTGTGGTTAACCGCAAACCGCAGGCACCTGGATGGTTGATGGCCGCCACACTCCGGGGCCGGGTGGGCGACCGTTCGGTAGTTGGTGGGGTGACGGGGTTAAGTGGCGGCACACGCCAGTTGGTGGGGGGTCCCCCGTTCGTACCCCGAATGGAGCCTTCATAAGGGTTCGCATAATCCATTCGTGTGGTTTTCTGCTTAACTCATGCAGTGGCAAACAGTATCATTCGGTGAATTAAAACAGTAACATAGTGATTTCCAGTCTTTTGTAACAATGCTCCCTCTTTGTGGAACACTCTGGCAGACACTGTCTGACCCCTTTTCGGGGCAGACTAAGGCTGTCCAGACTCGTGGGGTTAGGCTGGGCTGAGATCTGTTTGCCGGGATAATCCGTCGGCGTTGCCGTTCTGCTTCCCGGGTCGGTAGGTAATTGTGAAATTAAAGGGCTGCAGGGATAAGCTCCAGCGTAACAATCTGCCATTGTCCCCAGCGACCCGGTTGAGCCACACCAGCGGGTTATGGTCTGTAACCAGAGTGAACTCTTGTCCATACAAATAGGGGGTTGACTTCTTTAGTGCCCACACCAGAGCCAAACACTCCTTTTCTACCGCTGCATAGCTGACTTCGCGGGGTAGGAGTTTTCGACTGATGTAGGCAATCGGGTGTTCCTTCCCATCATCTCCTACTTGGCTGAGGACAGCTCCCAGCCCGAACATGGAAGCGTCTGTATGGACAATAAAACGTCGATTAGGGGCTGGGGCAGCCAAGACAGGAGCATTAATCAACGCAGTTTTGAGGGCTTGGAAAGCCGTTTCACAGAGGGGAGACCACAGGACCTGTCGGGGAAGGTTTTTCTTTGTCAGGTCGGTCAGGGGTTTGGCAATGGCGCTATACTCCGGTACAAATTTTCTGTAGTACCCAGCGGTACCCAGAAAAGCTAGTACTTGGGTCTTAGTGTGGGGAGTGGGCCAGTTGGCGACCGCTTCTATTTTGGCTGGCTCCGGTCGTTGCTTCCCACAGCCCACCCGGTGGCCCAGGTACTGAACCTCCGCCATCCCAAAGTGACACTTCTCTGGCTTTAGAGTTAGTCCGGCGGCTCGGATCTGGTCCAGAACTATTCCCACATGAGCTAAGTGTTCCTCCCAGGTCTCGCTATGAATCGCTATGTCGTCCAGGTATGCGCAGGCAAACTCCTGGAAGCCATCAAGGAGTCTGTCCACCAAGCGTTGGAATGTAGCGGGGGCATTCTTCATCCCGAACGGCATGACCTTAAAGTGGTACAAACCGAACGGGGTGACGAAGGCCGACTTGGGGACAGCCTCCCTGGCCAGGGGGATTTGCCAGTAACCCTTACAGAGGTCAATGGTAGTTAGGTAGTTCCCCCTGGCTATGCGATCTAGTAGCTCATCCACCCTGGGCATGGGGTATGCATCAGTGACAGTTTTGTCATTGAGTTTCCGGTAGTCCACACAGAATCTGGTGGTGCCGTCCTTTTTGGGGACCAGGACCACCGGGGATGCCCAGGGGCTATCGGAAGCTTCAATGACCCCTAATCGCAGCATCTCATCTATTTCCTTTTTCATGCCTGTCCTTACGGCCTCTGGAATTCGGTAGGGAGCTTGTCTCAAAGGGTTTTGGCCGGGGGTATCTACTGGGTGAGTGGTCAGCTCCGTGTACCCTGGTTCTTGGGAGAACATAGCCTGTTTCTCCCGGAGCAGTTTGTGTAGCTGCTCCCTCTCAACTGGGCTGAGTCTGTCCCCAATCTGTACTTGGCTCACTATTTCAACCGGGGATTTAGGGGTTAATAAGTCGGGTATGGGTAAACCATCTGCGTCCTCGTGCGCAGGGCTACATATGGCTGACACTTCCTCGGGTCTCTGCAAGTATTCCTTCAGCATGTTCACGTGAAATATCTTTCTCAAGTTTTCATCGTGACAGCTGGCGATTACGTAAGTGGTGTCCCCTCTCTTTTCCACTATCTGATAGGGACCCTGCCAGGCTGCTTGGAGCTTGTCCGTCTTAACTGGTTTTAGTACCATAACTTTCTGCCCGAGACAGAAGCTTCTTCGCCGTGCCCCCCGGTCGTACCAGACTTTCTGTCGCCCCTGGGCCGCCTGGAGGTTGGCCTGAACTGACTTAGCCAATTGCTCCATTCGGTCCCGGAGCTCCAGTACGTAAGGCACGATGGGGACCCCGGCGTTCTCGGTCTCTCCCTCCCAGTGCTCACGGATCAGGTTCAGGGGGCCCCATACCTTGCGACCGTATAACAGCTCAAAGGGAGAGAACCCGGTGGTTTCCTGGGGCACTTCCCGGTAAGCGAACAGGAGGTGCGGCAGGAAACGTTCCCAGTCCCTATACTCCTGGGTAAAGGTTTTTAACATCTGCTTGAGGGTTCCGTTGAACCGCTCACATAACCCATTAGTCTGGGGGTGGTACGGGGAGCTAAGTAGGGATTTAATTTTGCAAACGTGCCAGAGCTGCGGGCTCAGTTCTGCCGTGAACTGTGATCCCCTGTCGGATAGGATCTCCCTAGGGAATCCTACCCGAGAGAATACCTGCACTAAGGCATTAGCCACTATGTCTGCCTGGATATTAGATAAGGCCACAGCTTCTGGGTAGCGGGTAGCATAGTCCACTATGGTAAGAATGTATCTCTTGCCCGAGGGACTAGGGGTGGCCAGGGGCCCAACTAAGTCAATGGCTACCCGGCTAAACGGCTCGTCGATAATGGGCATGTTAACGAGGTGTGCCTTGGGGTGGTCTCCTCGTTTGCCTACCCGTTGGCACACCTCACACGTATTGCAATATGACCTCACATCTGCATGTACTCCTGGCCAGAACAAGGTATGGGTAATACGGTGCAGGGTACGGGTTACTGCCAAGTGACCGGCAGTCCCACCCGGAGGATATCTCGCCTATACTTGTGGGGTATTACTAACTGTCTCCTCCGGTGGCCCTTCTTCTCTGTGTGTCGGTACAGTCGACCCTGTTCCCATGCAAACGTCTCCTGGTCTGATCCCCCAGTCCCTGTATCAGCCCTTTCTCTATATTTTTGGAGCGTCGGATCAGTTTTGGTCTCAGCCTCGAAGGCTGCAGGAGTGTCCCAGGGCAACGGGGTAGGAGGGGGGGTCACAGTCGGGTTAAGTCTTACCTGAGGCTCCCGCACTGGTGAAGGGTCTCGTGCTCGTCCAGTTTGTGACCGGGTCGTCACCGGATGTGCCTCAGCGTTGTAGGAAGGGGCATAAGCAGAAGTCATAGGTCCCAGGTCGTTTCCCAGCAAAACTTCGGCTGGCAAATTATCCATAATTCCCACCCTCACAAGTCCTTTTCCCGCACCCCAATCCAAGTGTACCTTTGCTGTGGGTAGTTTATATATGTCTCCTCCAGCCACCCGGACAGCCACTGTGTCAGAAGAGCGTTTGTAGTCAGGGACTAACCGGCTTTGTACCAAGGTGATCTTGGCTCCGGTATCTCTTAACCCTTGTGTAGGACGACCCTCTAGCAGTACCTCTTGCCGGTGGTGTTGTCTATTGTCACTGGCGGCATACACAGGATTAGCTTCATGTAGGGGTCCCAGGTATTCTTCTAAAGGACTGTCTTGTTCCAGGCAAAACGCTCGAGCTGGACGGTTGTTTCCCGTTGGAGCGGAATTATAGTTCCGTGTGGGGTAATTGTTGTTGAGGGGGCAACTCGCTATCAGGTGCCCCGGTTGCTTGCACTTATAACATGTGGGTCGGGAGCGTTCCTGAGGGTAGTGGCTGGGTGGTCCCGGGTACCGTGTAGGACCTGCGGGTACCGGGTTGCGAAACTCCGTTCGTGGAGTTGTTCGGTATCCCTCTCTTGCTTCGGGACGAGTTACCGTTCGGGCATTGTTGAACTCCTGTACTTGCGCATCCCGGTGTTCGTCTGCTAACCGGGCTGCTTCGTGTAGGTTAGCGGGACGCCGGTCTTTCAACCACTCCCGGTCTTTTTGTTCCAGACCCTCATAAAAATGTTCTAATAAGAAAAGTTCCAATATTTCCGCGGCCGTGACGGCCTGACACCCAGTAATCCAATGGGTAGCAGCTCTCCGCATACGGTGTGCCCATTCGGCATGTGTGTCATTCGCTTTTTTCTTTGTGCTGCGGAATTGCCTTCGGTAGGTGTCTGGGGTCACAGCGTACCGTTTCAGCAGCGTTTCTTTTACCGTGGTGTATTGGGCTACCTCTTCTGCGCTGAGGGTTCGGAAGGCTTCCATGGCCCGCCCGGTTAATTTTCCTGCCAGGATACGTGGCCACGCGGCGACGGGGATCTGATGCAGGGCACATTGTCTTTCAAAATCGGCCAAAAATTCGTCTATCCCCATCTCATTCTCCGCGAACTGCTTGAATGCCGCGAACGGGATCTTTGGCTGTTCGGTAGTTTCTAGGGGGCCGCTGTGGCTATCAGCGGTCTTCATGCTCAGCTCGTGGGCTCTAGTCCGCTGTACGTCCGCCTCGGCTTCTGCCATTAGTTGCTGTATCAGCTCCATGGATGGGTTCGGTCCGTACAGAGGTAGCCTTTCTCGGACAAGCCTGGTCTTCTCATCGCTGCATGCTGCCGTCGGTTCCGCCATGGTGAAGCTTTGATCCAACTCGTTCAGGTCGGCAATCAATTCTCTCCTCGGCCGGTTACTTGCGTTCCCTCCACGGCTCTCGAGTATATCCTTTAACGTGGTACGCTTCAGCCTATCGTAGTTACTCTCCATCCGTCCTCTATATCTCTTTCAGGAATCCCAGGATGATCCCGCCGCTGCCACCAATTGTTACGATTGCCCCCGGTCTAGCAGGAGGGTTGATCGCTTGGATGTCCTGGTTCCCGCTGCAGAGAGTCGAACGGAGGTCTTTCGGTAGTAAGCTGCAAATGTAGAATATCCCCAAGCACGATATAAGCATCAATATCCCGGATCCCTACAACATGAGTCGAGGCTGCAAGTTGAGGGTCAAAACGAACTGGCTTTACTGGCACATAGCATGGCAATTTATGTGATTCCTCAGGTCCAAGGACAGCCCCCTGTGGACCTGATGGAATACAGGTACAGTACAGACACATATCCAATCACAACACAGTGTATCATTTGAATTAGTACCCGCCCAGCTTGGAGATAATGAGGCCAACGGTAATACAATCTAATTATCTCCAAGCGCACCAAAGACCACGTTTTCTTATGTCCCAGAAAACTGCATAAAAATCCATAACTTCTACATTAATAAAGACAAACCCCACATTCTACCATCCATCTGAAGGCTCACGTTCGTGTAAATAAAACATGCGAATGGCGCTCTAATCCCACGAACAGAATGTACTGTTTCTGCCAGTCTTTTGTAACATTTATAATATCTATTTGGTAGGCCATCTGGTCCTGGGGATTTGTGTGATGGCAAGTCAGATATGGCTTTAGATATTTCTTCATGGGATATTGGTTGTTTGAGTTGTTGTATTCTATCTGATGATAGGGATGGGAGGTGAACAGTTGCTAAAAAATTGTCAATATCTGCAAGCGTGGGACCTGACTGGTATTTTAAAGCACAGCCAGTATTTGAGGCTGCCTGGCTGTGACGGTATTGCAGTAATACCGGCAATACAAATGCAAATATTTTTCTCAGTATAAATGGAGATCACTCTGCAGTACCAGCACCGGTCCAGTAGGGGACCGACTGTGTATGGAGAGAGGCAGGGATAGGAAGTTACAGCATCTCCCTGCCTCCCTCTACTCACTGATCCACGAGGGAACAGCTACACAGCACAGAGAGTCCAGACAGCAGCTCCCAGCCTGCAGAGGCAGACTACAGCTCAGGTATGTGAAGGATGGGGGGAAAGGCAACAGGGAGACATGGGGACACTGAGACTCCCACTGTCCCCATGTCTCCCACTGTCCCCATATCTCCCAGCCAGTGTCCCTAGTGTCTCAGTGTTCCTATGTTTCCCAGTGTCTGTGTCCCCATGTCTTTGTGTCCCTAGTGTCCCCTTGTCTCAGTGTCCCCAAATGTCTGTGTCCACATGTCTCCCAGTGTGCCCATGTCTATGTCCACAAGTGCCCCATGTCTCCCAGTGTCCCCAAGTGTCTGTGTCTCCATGCCTCCCAGCCAGTGTACCTAGTGTCTCAGTGTCCCCATGTCTCCAAGTATCCCCTAGTCTCCCAGTGTCTGTGTTCCCATGTCTCTGTGTCCCTAGTGTCTTAGTTTCCCCAAATGTCTGTGTCCCCATGTTTCCCAGTCTCTGTGCCCCCATGTCTCTGTGATCACATTTCTCTCAGTGGCCCTATTTCTTTCACTGTCCCCATGTCTCCCAGTTTCTCCATGTCTCCCAGTGTCCCCATGTCTGTATCCACAAGTGTCCCCAAGTGTGTCTCAGTGCTCCCAAGTGTGTCTCAGTGCCCCCAAGTGTCTCAGTGCTCCCAAGTGCAGTGTCCCCAAGTGTCTGTGTTCCCATGTCTCACTGTGTCCCTATGTCTCACTATGTCCCCATGTCTCTCTGTGTCCCCTAGTATCCTAGTGTGACAAATGCCTTTTGTCACTGGATTTTTATATGACCAACTGCCCTCTTTCCTGGCTGTTGGAGAAGCCTGATTGCCAGCCTCCTCCTATTGCTATTTACAAAGACTATTTGGGGCGTCTTGGCTTCTAAAAGACTGTTTCTGCCCATTTAAATCCATGGGAAGATGTGTCTCTTCACCTCCCCCATTTCCTGTCTATTGTTCCAGCAGGGCGTTGCCAGCACTGCCAGACCAGTTGGAACTTGCTGTTTTGCCCCTCCTTGGTCTCTCATCAGCTCTTGCTATGTTTTAACTCCATGGCAATTTGACTGTGTTTGTGGAATCTGAGCGCTGTTCGGGTATAGTGAGCGCTCAGATCCAAGCTACCAGAGGATAGGTTGAATGTGGGGGTTCTGTTAAGTATAATAGGAATTATGTATTTTTATGTGTTTTTACTGTTGTTGTGAACAGAGCTATTTTCTGTATGCTGGAGGTAATTGGCTTACCACACCCAAGCCATGCTTGCAGATGGTCACAAAGGGACTTTCAACTAACTTTTGACCCACTGGACCAATTTGTATGAATTTGACGTATGTTTGTATTTGGAGTATGCTGAAAGTTTTATGTGAACGTGATGTATACTTTTAGAGTTATGAATATTGTGTAATACTGTGTATTTTCCTGCCTGTGATAATTAAGTTAGACCATTGTGTTCAGTAATTATATCACAGGCAGAGGGGAGGATTTTGTGTGGGAGTGTATTGTGCGTATTGATTGGTTGTTCTTCAAAACCCTCTGGGCAGTACTATGTTTGTAGAATGTGAATAAAATAGGCTGTATGTGCCAGTACAGTCAGATCTTCTTGACCCTCAACACGTAGTCTTGTGATTGGAGGGAACTGCTATATCACACTGGGGATTGCTATGCTCTGCATACTCCCTTGAGCGTTAATCACTTAGCTCTTTTAAGAGCTTGTTCCTGATAGGCTCACCTGGAGGAGAGGTCTTTCCCACATGGGCCTGGAGGACAGAAGCTGATCCAGGGTGGAAGGAAGACAACGAGACTCCAGTTAACCTACGACGGTAGTAGAGTCTGTGTTGGTTGTGGTGTCCAGTGTGGTGCTTGTGGTCCTCGGCGTAAGCTAGGAAGCGTCCATCAACAGAAGGTACTCGGTCAGAGTACAGAAGGGTCTGTTACACCTAGTGACACGGGACACACTGAGACATGGGGACACTGGGAGAAATGGAGACACAGACACTGGGAGACTAGGGGACAGGGCAACATGGGCACACTGTAATGTATCAGATACATGATGCTTGTTCGGGTTGGAGTTCGGTGTTCGGCGATTTAATAGCGAGTTTTGAAAGGCTGCAGGGCAGCCAATCAACAAGCATTTGACTTGTTTGCCCTTAGAAGCCATCATAGCCATGCCTACTAATGGCATGGCTGTGATTGGCCAGTGCAGCATGTGACCCAGCCTTTATATATAAGCTGGATTCGTGTAGCGCCGTACATAAGCTCTTATTAGTGTAGGGAGAGGATGCTACCGATTTCAGGGACAGATTAGGAAAGAATCAGTACAGATTAGTACATTAGTGGGGTGCACTTCATATCTGAGAGTTAAGTAGAAGCGTCAAATACTGCAGTTACATCAGAGTTTTAAAAAGCCAATTTTTGGGGGTGCTAAATAGTACATTAGTGGAGTGCACTTCATATCTGAGAGTCGAACAGAAGCATCAAATACTGCTGTCACATTGCAGTTTTAAAACTTAAACTTTTTTGGGCTGCTAAGAAGTACACTAGTGGGGTGTACTTCATATTTGAGAGTCAAATAGAAGCGTCAAATACTGCTGTCACATTGCAGTTTTAAAACTTAAAATTTTTGGGGTGCTAAAAAGTACATTAGTGGGAAGCACTTCATATCTGAGAGTCAAATAGAAGCGTCAAATAGTGCGGTTACAGCGCAATTGTAAAAGTTCTTATTTTCTGGGTGCTAATCTGCTAAATAGTAAATTTGGGGCGTGCTCTTCATATCTGAGAGTCAAATAAAAGCGTCAAATACTGCTGTGACATAGCATTTTTTTAAATTCAAATTTTTGGGTTGCTAAATAGTACATTTGCGGCCTGCGGTGCACTTCATATCTGAGAGTCAAATAGACCCGTCAAATATTGTGCTTACATTGCAGTTGTAAAAATTCTAATTCTTTAGGTGCTAAAAAGTCAATTTGATGCCTGCACTTCATATCTGAGAGTCAAATAGAAGCGTCAAATACTGTGTTTACAGCGCGCTTTGAAAAATTCCCATTTTTTTGCTCCTAAGAAGTACATTTGGGACATGCTCTTCATATCTGAGAGTCAAATAGAAGCGTCAAATAGTGCGGTTACAGCGCAATTGTAAACATTCTTATTTTTCTGGGTGCTAATCTGCTAAATAGTAAATTGAGGCCCTGCACTTCATATCTGGGAGTCAAATAGAAGCGTCAAATAGTGCAGTTACAGCGCAAATGTAAACATTCTTATTTTCTGGGTGTTAATGTGCTAAATAGTAAATTTGGGGCATGCTCTTCATATCTGAGAGTCAAACAGAACCGTCAAATAGTGCTGTAACATTTTTAAACATTCAAATTTTTGGCTGCTAAATAGTACATTTGCGGCCTGCGGTGCACTTCATATCTGAGAGTCAAATAGAACTGTCAAATATTGTGCTTACATTGCAGTTGTAAAAATTCTGATTGTTTAGGTGCTAAAAAGTCAATTTGGTGCCTGCACTTCATATCTGAAAGTCAAATAGAACCGTCAAATACCAATATAACAATATTGTAATTCGGGGGCAATACCCTCACAAGTCAAACTGAGAGGTCAGTTTATAGGGAAAAATGTTGCCTGGATACAATCCTAAAACAATTCCCATTTGTCCTTTGCAGACTTTACATGCTGTACAAACACAGGTGCCAACTGCTGTGGCTTTCTGCAGTGTGCAGTGTGCAGGAGGATGATGAGGTCCAACACCCCACATGGAATGAAGGTCATGCGAGTGACGTGTGCAATTTTGAGTAGGGTGCAAGAGCAGAGAGGCCGTCCCCTAGTGTACGTCGGCATGTATTATCTTTAGAATTCCCACAGTTATCCAAGTAACAGTTGAAGCGATAAAAGGAACCATAGCTGATTTAACGAGCCATTCGCAGTTTCGCAGTCTGGTGACTGGGACCCAGACATTGTCTGGGCGGCGGTTGGACAACCGGGACCCAGTATGCCTGATGTTGAAGTTAGGAGTCACAGTGTGGAATGGATTAGCAGGGTCTGGTGCAGGGTAACCGCACGCCCCCTGGTGTTGAGCACCAGCGTTTGTGCGGCCACATACCAGGACCCTGATGCAGCTTCAGAAAAAAGAGTACTGGATACCATAAGCCATCACCAGACTGATCTGCAACTTGGAACAGGATGTGACATTCACTGTAGCGGCTGTGCAAGCTTTCGGCATTCTCACTCTGCTGCTGCTCGCCTGTCTGCGCGGCACCATAACTTTGGCCTTCCCGCTCATCGCCTCATGAGACTGTGCGAGCAGCAGCAGGCGATAGTGGAGTTTCAGCTGCAGCACGCACGGGTCAGTCGCTCTGCGGAACAGAGTTGTTGTTTTTTTATATGTCACAATATTTTGGGGGCTACCCCAATAAAAAAAACAAAAAAAAACAGTGTTGGCTACCTCCTCCTCCTCCACCGCTGCTTCCACCTCCACCGCCACGGTCACTGCCTCTTCAACCTATGGGTCACTTAGTATAAACTATGTACACAATAGCAGAGGCTTGTGAAGGCCTTTTCTCTATGCATCAGGAGTTGAGCATTTCTCCATGCATCAGGACTGCAAGAAATGCACCGCAGGACGCAAATGTTGCTTTTTTTTATATGTCCCAATATTTTGGGGGCTACCACAATTAATCTAGTGCTATTTTATGGCTCAGCTGTATTTTACATTTTTAGGTTATTTTAAGTGATTTCCCAATCCCCATTTGTTTGCAGGACACTTGTCTTACTCTTACTCCCATTTTACTTCCTTTTGCAGCCCTCTAGCCCTTTCCAGGACTTTTTTAGAGGCATTTTAGTGCCCAAAAGTTTGGGTCCCCATTGACTTCAATGGGGTTTGGGTTCGTGGTCAAGTTCGGGGTCAAGTTCAATCCAGGTGTCCGCTCAACTCTAGTAGTGTGGTCAGAATGCAAAAGTTGACATTGAATCAGCTTTTAGGTTACTTCTTATACATCCTGACTTCTTTGGTTCATTGGGCTTTCAATTCGAAGGAAAATACATTTTATTATTATTATTATTATGATATTTATAGAGCACCGTCAAATTTCGCAGCGCTTTACAATGGGTGGACGAACAGACATGTAGTTGTAACCAGACACACAGGAAGTTGGACACACAGGAACAGAGGGGTTGAGGGCCCTTCTCAATGAGCTTACATGCTAGAGGGAGTGTGATTAAATTACACAAAAAGGTAAGGATAGTATTTGACTAGTGACAGTTGCAGAAGAGGAATCAGTCAGGAGCTATTAACAGTTTAATTGATACGCTTTTATGAAGAAGTGGGTTGTGGCGGAACCAGCTTCGCCACTTGGCATTGGAGAAGACTGATTGCCGGCCTCCTGCCCTGTGACTATGGCCTCATGTTGAAAGGATGGATTTTCCCCTGCAAAGACCCAAAAGCTGGGTCTTTCGGTACTTTCCCTATGTGAGCAGTGTTACCCAGATAGCTATGCCATGGAGCCCATTTGTATAATGAAAGACTATGGGAAAGACTTTGGCTCCATGGCAATTGAACTGTATGTGTGTGCTCTGAGCGCCATTCAGTAATAATGTGCACTCAGATCTTAGCTATCTGGGGATATGTTGAATGTATCTGTTTTGTGCAATGGCTGCACAGTTATATGTTTTTATGTGTTTTATTGTCTTTTGCTGCCATGTGGCTAATGGAGTTTTGCCTCTGTCCTGGAGAGCCATGCTGCATTTGGTCAAATAGGACTTTTACTTAACTTTTGAACCACTGTACCAATATGTATGATTTTGACATATGTTTGTATTTGGAATATGCTGATTCTGAAAATGTAAGTTTTATGTGAATGTGATGCATACCTTTCAAGTTATGAATAATGTGGAAAAACTGTATTTCTCTGGCTGTGATAATTAGATTAACCATTGTGTTCAGTAATCATATCACAGCCAGAGGGGAGGATTTTGTGTGGGAGTGTCTTTCTGTAATGTACGTGTGTTATTGGTTGTTATGTAAAACCCTGTGGGCAGTACTAAGTTTGTGGATTGGGAATAAAAGAGGCTGTATGTGACAGTCCAGTCAGTTCCTGCTTAACCCTCAAAGTGAAGTGTCGTCTCATTATTGGGGGAGGATTTATTGTATGCTGTTCCAGTTTGACTGCTTGGAGTGTAAACCTATTCGCATAGTTTTTCCTATTCCGCTGTGTACAACATTCATATGCTTGAGAGCATTCATATGCTCCTACGGTTTGGTGATTTTGGTGTCTGCTGCAGTCCTTGGAGTCCTCAGGAAGTGCTAGGAGCATCCTTCAAAGGAGGTACCCAGTCGGGGTGCCAGGTGATCTGTTACATGGGTCTTTAACGATTTTTTGAAGGAGTCGAGACTAGGTGAGAATCTAACGGAGGAGGGAAGCAAGTTCCACAGGAACGGTGCAGCCATCGAGAAATCTTGAAGGCGAGCATCAGAAGTGGGTGTACGGACAGAAGATAGACAGAAATCTTCAGCAGATCGTAAGGGCCTAGACGGGACATACTTGTGTATAAGGGAGGATAGATAGGTGGGAGCAGCATTATGTAGAGATTTGAAAGCAAGAACCAGAATTTATTGGCTTCCTATATTTTATAGGAAGCCAATGTATGGACTGACAGAAGGGTGAGGCATGGGAGGTGCAGGAGGTGCAGGAAGATAAGCCTCGCCGCCGCATTCATTATGGACTGTAATGGCGCAAGTTGGGAGCACGTAAGACAACTGAGAAGTGGATTACAGTAGTCAAGGCAAGAAAAGACAGTGGAATGGACCAACACCTTAGTCGCATCTGGCGTTAAGTAGGGGCGGATGCGCACAATGTTTTTGAGATGGAAATGACAGGATTTGGTGATAGATTGAACATGAGGCTTGAAGGAGAGGTCAGAGTCAAAGAGAACACCTAGGCAGCGAGCCTGCGTGGTGGAGCTGATGGCAGCACCGTTGACTTGGAGGGAGACAGACAACACTTGAGGGAGGAAAGACCAGAATTTCAGTATTGGTCAAGTTTAGTTTAAGAAAGTGGGCAGCCATCCAGTTAGAAACAGCAGAGAGACAGTCAGAGACACTAGTCAAGAGGGACGGGGAGAGATCAGGAGAGGACAGGTAGATTTGCGTGTTATCTGCATGGAAATGATATTGGAAGCCAAAGGAGCTAATGAGTTTACCATGAGAGGCAGTATAGATGGAGAACAGTAGGGGACCAAGGACTGAACCTTGGGGGACACCAACAGAGAGGAGTTGGGGAGAAGAAGCAGAGCCAGAGAAAGAAACACTGAAAGAGCGCTGGGAGAGGTAGGAGGAGCACCAGGAGAGAGCAATATCTTGTAGACCGATATTGCGGAGGATGAGAAGAAGCTGTTGATAATCAACAGTGTCAAAAGCCGCAGACAGGTCAAAGAGAATTAGGATCACGAGATTTTGCAGTGACTAGATCATTGGATACTTTGGTCAGTGCGTTTCCACAGAGTGCTTAGCGCAGAAACCAGACTGAAGCGGGTCTAGCAGAGAGTTGGACTCAAGGAAGTCTGTCAATCTCGCATACACAATTCTTTCAAGAATCTTGGTTGCAAAAGGCAGTAGCGAGATAGGACGATAGTTGGATGGGGAGTTAGGGTCAAGATTGGGTTTCTTTAGAATTGGGGTAACAGTTGCATGTTTGAAGGGCAATGGAAATATACCAGAGGAGAGAGAGTGAGAATTTTAGTGAGAGGTGGAGAAAGAGAAGAAGACAGAGTATGGATGAGATGCAAGGGAATTGGATCTAGGGAGCAGGTGGGGGGGGGCGGGAGGACTGGAGCAGAGCAGAAACCTCTTCCAATGTAGCGGGTGCGAATGAACATAGAACAGCAGAGGGAGTGAAGTTAGGGGAAGTATTGTAAGGGGAAGAAGAAAGATGAGAGATATCTTCTCTGATTGTAGAGATCTTGTCAGTGAAGTGAGTTCCAAAGTCTGAGGCGGTCAAGTTAGTAGGTGGAGGAGGAACAGCAGGGCGAAGAAGAGAGTTAAATGTGTGAAATAGTCGTTTGGGTTCGCGGGAGAGTGTGGTTATGAGGGTATTGGAGTAATTAACTTTTGCAGAGGAAAGAGCCAAGCTGTATGAGCTCAGCAAAAATTTATAGTGGAGAAAGTCAGATGCATAGTGAGATTTTCTCCAATAGTGTTCAGCAGTTCTGGAGCATTTTTGGAGGTATCGAGTGAGCTTGGTGTGCCAGGGTTTTCGTTGGGGGGGCCTGCGGCATTTAAATGTACAAGGTGCCATGATGTCTAGTTGAGAGGAGAGGGTGGAATTGTAGAAGGAGGTTGCAGAACTAGGACAGGTGAGGTTTGAGATAGGTAAAAGGAGAGTTTGGAGATTAGTGGAGAAATGCTCTAGGTCAAGACATTGGAGGTTTCTGTGAGAGTGATGTTCAGATGGTGGTGTCAATTGAAGATTATGCTACCTCTAGTGTACTAATAATCTAAATTTTAATAATGACAGGAGGCGAGTATTTTGCATATCTCTGTTTACTAACTCCATACAGCAGTAAAGAAACACATAGAAAAAAGAACAAATCACAGGAGAGCAGGATGTACATAAGGCACCGTGACCTCATCATTTCCTCTTTCAGAAAGTGACAACAAGCAGAAGTAAATATATAGCAAACAATAAAACTAATAATAACTTCAAGTTCCCATGTGCGAAGGAGCAAACATCCAAAGAATTCTATACGAACAACGAAAAAGAGTTCAGGGTTGAGAAAATCTCCAATAGTTTCACGTGAACTGCCAATTATCTTCAGAGACGAATCATACTGAAAAGAAAATGTGTGACAGGTTTAGACATAGTCACGAACATCTAACTCCAATTAACGTACCACCTAACATCCCATTGGAGAATATAGTAACTATAATCTGATAACTGAGTAATTGTAATGAGTACTCTA